TACATTATACATTAAATTAAGTTTTTAGGCCGATTACAGAGAAGAGAGAAGAAGGAATCCTATAACATTACCCTAATGATAATAAACATAAAATAAATAATCATAAAACATTAAATTGAATTAAATCAACTCAAACCGAAAGAAATCAAATTCAACTTAAATTCAACCTGAATTCTACAGAGTTGACTTTACCCCGAACAATGGCCAGTTTGAATTTGACTTTTAAATTAGAAAGGTGCCCAGTAGGTATAAGATAGTGAATATTGTAAGTGAGAGCTGATACTTTAATTGTTAAAGGAAAAGACTTTTTGTGAATATCAAAAAAAAAAGTTATGTGTTTGTGATCTATGTGTTAAGGCTTCCAATAGGGATTAACTATGAACCTAGTTCAACTCGTACACACAAGCTGCTGATATGCAGTCAGAAAACAGTAAAAGAGTTGAGAATGAATTCAGGTTCTTTGTCTCAAAAATAAACTTCCTTAAAACAGAAATAACATGTATTTGGAGTTTTGGACGGACCCGTTGGTGGTTTAGTGGTTAGTAAGGATGGAATAAAATCACAATAACTTGTGATGAATCATATAATTAATAACCCATATCATCACACCTGCGACTGATTTACAAAACAACTGTTACTTAATTATTATTATTACGCTAGCGCAAGACTCGCTAAAGGTCTAAATTTGAAAAAAAATGTTCGTAATCTTTGATAAAAAGAACTTTAATTGATTTAAATTACATTATTAATTAAAGACAAAGATAAATGGCATGTTTTTGTCTATGACGTATTCAGTCACATGTGAAATCGCTGACTAATACCAAATAAAAGTAGCAATAATTTCCAGGTCTAGTGGTTAGTGATTCTGACTGCTAGGCCAGAGATCATGTGTTCGATTCCCACCCAGAACAAATAATTGTGTGATGAGCGCGGTCACGTTTCTTGTCTGGGTGTAATTTATCTATGATATACGTGTATTTAGAAAAATATAAGTATGTTTATCAGCAGTCTCTGCCCAGTTTGGATTCAAACAGCCGTGTGTGAGATGTGTTCTGAGTTAGTATTAGTTAGTTAGTTGTGGGGTTATTATTGTTAATATTTTTTAACAAGTGTAAGAGAGTTATGATATAAGACAAACACAAATATGTAAAAAAAAGATTTTATACAAACTTATTTATTTTTTTGTAAATTATAAAAAATTGTTAAGCATTTGTTTATATCGATGGCTATCGCAACATTCATAGACAGATTATATAATTATATTATATATTACTAATTATTACTTGCTTATATTACTTATTATTATATAATTATATTATTTAATATTGAATATAATGATTAGATTGATTTCCCTGTAGGTATCATCAGAACGAAACCTCTTTATGTATGAATATCTACATTGTTAAAATAAATTGAGTATTAGAAAAGAACCAATTACTTAATATTTAAAAAACACAAAAATAAATTATTTCATCATAATTTTATATTTATATTATTATTTTTGTGTAGAATTACAATGAAGTACCTTCCTAATACCTACTATAATCGTAAACGTAAACAAACATAACATAATTCTATGTGATTGTTTACTGTTTTACTTATTTTAGGAAAAAGGCCACGCGACCGATTTTTGTAGGTATATTGTTATATTGTAATATTGTTATGTTACGTTTTGATTTTGTTAATCTTCCTGAAAGGCGTGAAAATTCCACGTGCCATAACCACGGCGTAATTATGATTTAAGTGATGGTGTAAGTGGACGAAACTAAAACTGTGTTAAGGAATTAGAGTGAGGTGAGGTGTTTAATAAAACTGCTTTCTAGAGTAAGTAAAACCTCCTGTCTAAGGAGAGGCCTATGTCCAGCAGTGGACTAGTATAGGCTGTTGATGAGAGTAAGTTTAGTGAATGTTGAGATATTTCTAAAATGTCTAAGCAACGTTGAAGGCTTTTAGGTATTATTGCTGTTTTAATTCTAATGCCAGATCTTGATACTTAGGAAGTTTTTGAACTATTGTAGATTGGACGTCACGGGTGCTCGGTACTGCTATGTCTATGAGATATACAGTTTTGTTAATTTTGTCGTGAAGTTTGATGAGAAAGAAAGAAAATCTATTGAAATAAATAGTCTCATCCGTTATTTTATGGTTATTGTTTTCTAGTAGGTACTACCTGAGTACTACCTGTGTCTGCCTGTTTCCGGATTGTATTTGTAATAGGTTATCTTTTTGTCTAAAAAGTGATGTTTCTGAGCAAGATGTAAGTGTACTGTGGGGATACTTGGTTTTTTATGTCGATATTTGTAGTAAGTTTGAACAAGAGATTTGCCAGCTAAATTTATATGTTGAATAGTTTCGAAACGGGTATGGCAGCGTCTGAGGGGAGATTTTCTAGGCGTATTAAATGCTTTTGGTAGTTTCGATCTTGTATTGCAATCATAAATAGCTATAGTTTCAGGCAACTGGACTCCACGCCGCAGCCACTCATTAGACACAACTGTGTCGAACTTAGATTGCTGAAGGTCGTAGCGATTCCTGCCGTGTAGTATCAGCAGAATCATTTTCTTTAATTTAACATGACGTTCATCGCATTGTGGGTTTGAGTCTGGCAGGTTGAAGTGTCTGTCTGCAAGTGTTGGAACTTCGTGTAGTGCAGAGTGTTTTGATGATGAAGGTGAAAGGTTCTGACGACCTAGTGTGAGTTTAATACATGAATCTTGCTCTCAACGGTAAGCGCGTTCGGCGTTATGATTGGTGAAGATTTTAGTGAGGGCCAATTGCAGCACCGAACGCGGTCACAATAAATCTGATTGAATTCTAGTAATCTGTCTCTTTGAACTTGGCTGGACAGTTTGTCGTGTCTCTAGATCTTTTGGTATCATTTAGATGAAGCCTTCAGTAAAACAATGTGGCATGCAATTATGACTGGTGTCTCAATGTAAGTGTCGATGTGTTTATGTAGGAGAGGATCAAAGATCTAAATTTCTTAAGCCAGTACTTATGTATGCGGTCGCTGCCGAAATCTATATGAATAATAAAGTCTGTTAGAGAGGTATTTATCTAAACGCATTCAGCTTGTTAATCATATAGTACAGGTTTTGACAAAATATTGGACTAGAAGTTATGCAATTCATAACCAGGGGCGTTACTGCGAAGCGTATCTTGCATGTTTTTTTTTTCGGCCGACCGTCTGATTCAAAACTAGGTTTGACCTGTACTATGGTAACTAGACTGCTGATAACATACTTAAATTACATTCAGAAACGTACCAAATAATCGTGCTCATCACATAGTTGTTCTGGTTGGGAAAGGAACCCACGACCTCCGGTTTAGTAGTCAGAATCACTAACCACTTGACCAACAGGTCCGTATTGTTGTGTATTTAAAGATAAATGTAAAAGTGATTTTCATTGTTAGTTATTTGGCTGTTTTGTGTTTTCCTAAGTGTTGCAGGTAACATATATTTTTAATCTACTTGTAGCTGCATCAAGTTTTTGATTGAGAGTGTCAAGGAAATGTTCAGTACTTAATTAGGTTCTTTATGTTGTTAATAGGGCGCTAAACTAATATATCCATGTCTGGATGGGCGGTTTATTTTTTTTTTAAATTTACTACCCACCCCTAATAGGCATCATTTCATAGAAGTATGGAACAGAATAATAAAAGTGTCATAAAAGATATTTAGTGGTAAAATAGTAAATAACCAAGATTAGCTGATTACCGATTCAGTTTTCGGTTACCATACAATATTATTACATTACAAGCGATGTTTAATAATTTACTAAGATAAATCCTTTTAAAAGAAAGTTGAACTGACTTTAAACAATACTGACAAAGGACACTAAAAATTAAAAAATAATTACTAATCTGAGTGAAAAAACTATAATAGGCGCGACCTTCAATATAACAGGTAACATTATAATAGCAGTAGTCCCTTCCAGTCTGTTTGAAGTCGCTAGCTAGAAAACATGTTGTTGGGGCTGTAAAATTCGTTTTCCTCGATTTCTCTAGGATCCCATCACCAAATCCTCATTTGGTGGTAATGGAACCACCTTAAGAGTACCCTTTCGATTAGAATCATAAATTTCGATTACAATTAAAAATTTATAGAAAAATCGGTCATCATTTGACGGAGATATCGCGTAACAATAATACACAAAAAAAGTACAGCCGAATTGATGACCTCCTCTTTTGTGTTTTTGAAGTCGGTTAAAAATAGCTTTTTGACAATTGTGTGATGGAAAATTGATCGGGACTGAATTGTGACCAATTTTTTTTACGAGAATTGCCCTTCTGGTCTACGTATTAGACGGCGGTAATTACGTTCTACTAATAATTTGTTGATTTGACGTCTAAGGTGATAGATCTTTTATTTTCAAGACAACTATATTATTGCAGTCTGGGACTTCCTTTTTTGGAGGATAGACCTTATCTTCAGGTTATAGTATTGCTGGGCACCACTAATGGCATCCTAAGAGTTTTATCCGAGTGTTCGGATCTTCCAGTCCTAAAATGGTGGATGCGGCTGCATGCTAGCGTATCCTCACGATTTATTTTGTAATTTATAGAACTAACATAGTTGTAAGATGATTGTCAGTAACCAATTTCTGAAATAAATATTAAAGGTAAATATTTTCATTAGTATGATGATTCATATTTAAAGACCACTGTGATTAGGATAATAATAATGTGTATATTTATAATAAAGTATAATGTGTTTTTTTTTCTTTAGTTCCCTAAAGAAAAAAAACACATTATACTTTATACAAAACCCCGACTAGCAATTTGTTACTTTTACTAAATTTAAAAGTGAATTAGTATGTTTTAATCGATTGTCATAACATCGACTAAAAGATGAATAGTAGCTTCGTTTACAACCTCATATTTTTTTGCAAATTTGTCAAAAGCTCTTCGTTAAGTGAGTGAGGGTGTACAGTTTTTATAATTTTCTTTATATAGATTTTATTTTTTTGCGTTTGTTATGTAGACAATGCAGATTCAAGATGATGTCTGATCAGTTCAGGAAGGTAGAACCGTATTCGCCGAAATCTTCACCAAGAGGTGGGAGGTCGCCAGTGGTTTCTCGTCAGGATTCCTCCGGAACACTCAAAACTACCATCTCGTTGGGCAAAAATCCGTCTATAGTGCACAGTGGACCATTTTATTTGATGAAAGAACCTCCAGGTACGATCTCATTTATTTTTATAAAATGTTCAAAAGCATTTATTTACATATTTAGTCTTCTTCAATTGCTACAAAGTATTACTTTATTCTCCAGGAGAATGCGAGACAACAGGGGCGACTAATTTGATGGCCTATTATGGTCTTGAGCACTCCTATAGTAAATTTAATGGTAAAAAACTGAAGGAATCCTTGTCGTCGTTTCTTCCTAATCTACCTGGCATTCTCGATGGACCTGGACAGGAAGATAATAGCACTTTAGGATCAGTGATAGCTAAGAGACCAATAGGTGGTAAGGAGTTATTGCCACTTACAAGTGCCCAGTTGGCTGGATTCAGACTGCACCCGGGACCACTGCCTGAGCAATATCGTTATGTTAGTGCAACACCACCAAAGAGACACAAGACCAAACACAAGAAGCATAATAAACACAAAGATGGAGTACCCCCTGGACAAGAAACTCCATTACAAGGTAACTGTTTGGTTTTTGTTTTTTTTTTTTTTATATTTGATTCATTTGTTTTATAGGTTATTTACCAGCAGGTGAAAAAGTTAAGGCAGAGGTCAGTTGAGAAATTAGTTTTATAAAACAACTTGGTATTACTTAATGAACTTTTTCAACTTTTTGTGACTGCTCATGTATTTGCTTATTTTTTGTACATCATTTAACAAACTAGTGGAGTATAAACTCCTTCCTCTGAGCCTTTTCCCTAAACAAGGTTGGGGTCGGCTCTAAGTCTGCTACAATACGGCTGAACTTTGTTTTTTTATGGGGAGCGACTGTCATCAGGCCTCCACAACCCACTTGATTTCATAAATATCAGATTCAAGTCAAGACTATAGGTACCTAAGGTAGGTAAAAGACATTAGTCTTGGCATGGTAATCCATGTAAAAACTCTATCCCGACCTAAACTCGCTGATGGAATACTGTGACAACCCTAGAACAACCCTCTAGTTGGAGGCACTTTTGTTGACTGACACATGCTCCGTAAGGTCATGATCACATGATCATATCTAAAATTTTCTCTATAAGTTATTCTGTGTAACGTAATTAAAGTAGAACACTTCACATTCTGATTCTCATGATATATTTATTTATAAATTTATTGTCTACATGAGACAAGCAAATTATGCTTACTGCATCAGCAAAACTTGACTAGAGTGGTCTCTATGTAGGACATACAAACAAGTTCTTATACCAAAGTCACCCAAAAAATTCTATCTGTCAGCTCAAAAGTGATTTGAGTGTGGGTATTTCTTTGGGAGTAAATTTATTTTTTTAAGTGTCTACTTTAGGGAACAATCCTTAGCAGGCTGGGTTGGGTATGTAATTATAAAATACCATATGAATTTTCCGTACTAATTATTATACAGCTGAAAAGTTTGTTTGGTCAAACATGCTAACCTCAGGAACTACTGGTGTGAATTGGAAAACTCTTTTAGTTTAGGATAGCCCATTTATCGAGGTAAAATATAGGGTATAAAACATCAAGCTTTAATGAAAAATGATGAAAAACCGGGAAAGTTTATTCCTTTTGAAGAATGCAGTTGGAGTTACGAGGGTCAGCTAGTACTTTTATATAATAAAGTCATCACCTTCATGTCTTTGTATCTTTTGCTCAACAAGATGTGTAACATTACAAAGGAGTATGACTGATTCCTCTTATGGCCGGCAGCCCGTCTGACCCTCAGATAGCTTTGCCTGATGGTTGTAATCAGTCCCCGATAAGACACATGGACTAAGTAAATTAGGCTAAGGCAACTAGGAAGGGGGGTCAGGATTGAGACTTCTTTAGTTTAGAAAGGCTGGGTTTGCTTAGTGGTGTGTCTGCCCTGTGGTTTTAAGAGAGGCCATCAATCAAGTGGAGCAATAACAGAAATAAGGAAATATAAAATAAATCAATACAAATAAATAAAATTGAGGTGTCTGTTTGTAATGTCAAAATAATAGGTTTTTTCATGCTAACATGGTTATTTGCATGATACCCTGCCTAAAAGCCAGTATAAATATTTTTTGTGACCGATTTTAATAATATTTTACTAGCAGGTAGCTGTCGATATAAAGAGTGCTTAGGCTATTATTCCTCTCAGAAACACTTTATAAAATTTTGCCTGGTGTGGAAATCGAACCAGAGGCCTCATGGACTGCATTGACGTATCATACTACACCACTAAGGCGTCGTTTTTCAAATTCCACGCAAATGAAGTCGCGGGTACCAGCTTGTTACAAATAGAAATGAAGCCATAGATGTTAAGTAATAATGGTGGCCTTACTACAAGGTATTATAATATCCACAGATTCATCAAACCCAGACACATATGAGAAGAAACACAAAAAGCAAAAGCGTCACGATGACGACAAGGAACGTAAGAAACGGAAAAAGGAGAAGAAAAGGAAAAAGCAGAAACACAGCCCTGAGCATGGTGGTCTCACGCCCAGCCAGCACCCTGTACCTTAGGTGATAATATAGTTTTAATGTGAAACTATCGAGCCCAAAGAGACTGCACTATAGAGTTTACAAGCACACATAAGACCAAAAATATCTTCTTTTTTTTTTATAAAATTAAAGTGATGACCACTTAGTATGAGTTCAGTCCATTGAATTCTAATGATGGAGTATTTTTATGAGATGGACACTTTTTAGTTTGTTACAACCAAAATCAATTTTATTTCTAATTGAAGTTATTTTGGTAATAGATGTAAACTTAAAAATAAGCTGGTGCACATATCCATTTAAATGTGTATTTTCGTATTTATTAGAAATAGCAAAATTCTATGTACATAGTTTCTTATATTTATTTGTGTGATCTGATCTTGTAAGCAGGCTTTGAGGTCATTTGTACGCAGGCTTGTTGGAGTAAAGTGGTCTGTTTATGTTACCCATGGCAACTTATGGTCATGTTACAACATAACTGAAGATAAAACTGAAATATGTATGAAATCGTATAGGATGAGGAAGAATTTTTATCCTTTCTCTTCTTGGTGTGAAATATATGTGGAAATTAAAACAAACAAGTAGGGAATTTTATTAGCTATATCATAAAACCTATTCAAGTACACATCTCATACACTGTGAATTCTTATTCAGTAGTATGCAGAGACGGAAGCATTGAGGCTAAATATTCAAAATATATGTCAATTGATTACATAACCTGGTAATAAGATTATGCATAGTTAAGGAACTGAAGTTAATTTAAGTATAGTGTAGTGACGGATCGAAATAACCGTGTGGTGACGAATTAAGAATACTGAGTGTCACCTCCCATCCACGACATCCCATGGGTGTCGAAAGAGCCAGCTGAGGGAATAAAAAGCGCAGGACAACAGCACTGCAAAGAGAAGGAAAACTTGAAACATACCCTATACCACCCCTCTGGCCAGCATGGTACAGTAGGCCAAAACCTCCTGTCTAAGGTGAGGCTTATGTCCAGCAGTGGACTGGTAGAGGCTGTTGATGATGATGGTGATGATGTAGGGAAATTAAGTTATGTGTGTTATGATGCTATTTGGTCGTACATTAATTTCTCCTAGGAATACCTTACCTAGAGAGTTGTATGTTGTCAGACCGGTGTAAACAGACCCATACGTAGAGATTCTTCAACTTATTCTATAGTTTTAACTAAGCCTTTTCTATTTCGTCATCTCTTTGGGCTTGACTCCTAGGCTAATAAGTATTGGTAATATGTTAAAGTAATTGATATTTTGTTTTACCATTTTGTTAGATATCTTTCATGTTCTGGAAACCATGATTCATTGTATATACATCTTACATTTTATTTTTAATTATTATTAAGAACTACCATTCTCATAGACGTAATAAATTTGATAGAATGTTATTTGGTTGTTTTATTTAAAAGTAATGTTTCAAAGTAGTGTTACCACCAGTTCATTGAAAATTAAACAAAATTTTTAAGGGGGCTATAGAACAGTAACTAAATACATCAATAAAGCAGTGAATTTATACATAGTGGCTAAATAAATGGAATTTAGTGAAAAAACATAAAACGAATATATATACTTTTACTTAACTTTAATAAAATCTGAAGTTTCTATGTTTGGTTGTTTGTTTAGTTTTAGTAGATTAGTGTAATCTCTGAAACTATTAGTCAAACTCGCAATGCTCATTGATCGAGAGTACCAGCGACGCTAGAAATAATATATAATTTTTGCGTGAATTATTAGGCTAGAAACAAGTAATAAAAAAAATCAATTTGTTTAATTCAGAATTGTAACTATGTATTCAGAATTGCGTCTATGTGTATCTATTTCCGAACGATTACATTAAAATTTTAAATACTAAATGGCAAAAAAGTAAAATACTTATCACGATTTTGGTAACAGCTCCTGATTACTAGGGAATACGTTATCTCGTGTGCTATGCGGACGACACACTCGTGACGGCGCGCGGCAAGACGCACCACGAGGCAACCCTGAGGGCCACGGCCGGGGTTGCCCAAGTCGTTGAGCGTATCCGGCGGCTGGGTCTCGAGGTGGCTCTGCACAAGTCCGAGGCCCTGTTCTTCCACGGGCTTCGGAGGAAGCCGCCTGAGGGATCTAGCCTCACGGTAGGAGGCACTCGCATCGGCATCGAGCCCTCGATCAGATATCTGGGGCTCGTACTCGATGGCCGATGGGACTTCGGATATCATTTCCGAGGTCTGGTCCCCAAGTTGGTTGAGGCAGCGCGTGCGTTGGCGCGGCTGCTGCCCAACATGAAGGGACCCGATGACTCCTGCAGGAGACTCTACTCGGGGGTTGTGCGGTCCATGGCCCTTTACGGGTGCCCAGTATGGGCGGGGGCCCTGAAGGCCAGCAACGTCGCGATACTGCGACGACCGCAGCGAGTGCTGGCCATCAGGATCATAAGGGGGTACCGCACGATCTCCTTTGAGGCGGCGAGTCTCCTGGCCGGAACTCCACCGTGGGACCTGGAGGCGAGAGCCCTTGCGGCTCTGTATAAGTGGCGCAAGGAGGCGCGGGAGTTGGGTCGGTGTCCCGAGACTCGAGAAATCGATGACCAGAAATCCCAACTCCGCCAGGTCATCATAGGGGAGTGGAAGGAACGACTCGGGCAACCGAGCGCCGGGTACGCCGTCATCGCGGCGGTAAGACCCGTTATGGAGGATTGGCTCGAGAGGCGTCACGGGACCCTCTCATACCGACTGACGCAGGTGATCACTGGGAAAGGATGTTTCGGGGATCATCTGTGTCTGATCCGCAAGGAGCCAACGCCTGAGTGCCACCACTGCGATGGCCAGACCGTGGACACGGCTCTCCACACGCTGGCACAGTGCCCGGCGTGGGTTGAGCAGAGGCGAGACCTCGTGGCGGCCATCGGAGTGGGAGTTCTCTCGCTCGATAGCCTGATTGCGGCTATCGTGCGGAGCGAGAGTGCGTGGAACTCTGCCGTCTCCTTCTGCGAGCAAGTTACGCAGGCCTGGGGGTGACAGGTGAGGCCATCTGTCACCCTAGCAGAAGCAGGCCGGGGTGGCGGCGAGCGCGTTGCGAAGCGCGCTCGCTTCCAGGGAGCACAGGGAACATGGGGTTCCCACACGGGGGGGGGGGGGGTCGTCTACTCGTCTGTAGATGACCCGAGGTATGTCGGGGCACCAGGGACTTCCTTTCTAGGGTATACCTGGTTCCCCGGCTATTAGTACCCGGCGACGGCGTGCGGTTTTAGTCGGTTCGAGCTGTCGGTGGTATCCGAGGGGATTCCCGCGCGGAAAAAAAAAAAGGGAATACGTTATCAATGAATAGACACTTCTAGACATATGTTCAAAATGTAGTCTATTAAAGTGACAAACTACTAAAATAATATCTATAATAATCTCAAGTAATTCTCAGTAAATCGGAATTTGAAAAGCAGGAAATCAACTTACAAACATAAACAAAACAGATAACAAACATAAACAAAACAAATAACAATATTTACATTTTTTTTGTAACCGATTTTAATAATATTTTACTAGCAGGTAGCTGTCTATAATATGTGTCTGTTCACAACAGTACGTTAGAGCAAAGCAGATAAATCACTTAACGTGTTAGAGCGAGATGCACTACTGACCTTGGGCAGATATTACCCCTCTGACGCAGAGTTATATAGTGCGTACTATGTAAGGGCTCAGCTTTCTTTCGTTAATTTAAATTAGTTAAAAGCAGTATGCTTACTATGATAGCCCTGAAAAACAAACTTAAACTCAAATATCTTTATTTCATATAAAAATTAAAATTATTTGTGAAGTTATAGATCAACACACATTATACACACAATAGCAATAATCTCTGTTTTGTCAAATATTCAGCACAATTTTTTTTACTCTTTTCGGATCTAGATACGGCTTCTAGGGGACGTAGAAGCCAAGGCCTCTGTTTTGAACCCTTTGTTATCCACCAGTCTGCCATCAAGCCTAAGTGTCATCTGATGCGCAGATTTCATCTGATCTAATCATGCGGATGACACACAAATACTAGGTACTAGATCTCACAGGAGGTGCTTCGGCTCGTCCAGCAGGGGGTGGCTTGTGTTGTGGGAAAGATTCGAGAGCTGGGCCTGAGGGTGGTGCCTCAGAAAACTGAGGCGATATAACTCCATGGCCTATGTAAGCGCCAGGAACCACCCAAATCACGCCTCCGGGTAGGTGACGCTGAAGTCTAGGTGAGCCGGTACATGAAGTACCTAGGCCTCATCCTGCAAAAGTGGAACTTCGAAGAGCATTGCGGTGTGTTGAATCGCCTGCTGCCCAGTCTCGGGGGACAACAGAAGTTCGCCACCGGGCATAGTAAGATCCATGGCCCTCTATGGGGCACTAGTCTGGTCTAATAACCTGGCGGATGCCTCACGCTGTAAGGCTCTACCCAGGGGCCGGTAGCGGCCATACGGATCGTACGTTCGATCTCGTATGAGGCGGCGACAGTCCTGGAGCGATCTCAAACCCGCTGCCGCTGAGGTGAATGCCACGTAGCCAGTGTTGCCGCTTTGTGCGTGACATGTGACATGACACATGTCACGCACAATGCGGCATACGCATGTTTTTTAGCACAGGGTTGCCATATGTATTTTTAATTTATTTCTGTCGTGTAATAGAGAAATAAAATATGTTTTCTTTATTTCTTCTTTCTTAAGTCCAAGTTCGCTCTATCGGTCGGAATGGTAATGAGCCCGCCCTGGATTATGAGCTCGGCTGCGGCAGAAAGCGCATACGCGTCCCGGCTGGAACGGTCTTCGTAGAGTGGGCAGAGCGGCAGTACAGGACCCTTTCCTTCCGAGTGACCTGCACTCGGTCGCTGGAGGGAATTGAATCCCGCCTATCACTATTGCGATTGCAGTGAAGACTCGACTCAGCACAAGTTGGCAATTTGCCCAGCTTGGGCTTCGCAGCGTCGGGTCTCTAACTCTACCGGCCGTCGTACGCTTCATGGCCGGAGTGACAGTTGTTTTACAGTGGGCGCATCCTCGTC